ATGACCAAAAACGCATCCAAAAGCATAAAAAACCTTTCAAAAAAATTCAATTTTACTTAGGCTGACGATTTTATTGCATATTCTTGCACAGAATACACCGAAAAGTGTAGAAAAAAATTGACTCCCAAGTCCGAGTAGAGGAAGACCTTTTTTATGACCAAAAACACACCCAAAAGCATAAAAAACCTTCCAAAAAAATTCAATTTTTCTTAGGCAGACGATTTTATTGCATATTCTTGCACAGAATACACCGAAAAGTGTAGAAAAAAATTGACTCCCAGATCCGAGTAGAGGAAGACCTTTTTTATGACCAAAAACGCATCCAAAAGCATAAAAAACCTTTCAAAAAAATTCAATTTTACTTAGGCAGGCGATTTTATTGCACATTCTTGCACAGAATACACCGAAAAGTGTAGAAAAAAATTGACTCCCAGATCCGAGTAGAGGAAGACCTTTTTTATGACCAAAAACGCATCCAAAAGCATAAAAAACCTTTCAAAAAAATTTAATTTTACTTAGGCAGAGTATTTTATTGCATATTCTTGCACAGAATACACCGAAAAGTGTAGAAAAAAATTGACTCCCAGATCCGAGTAGAGGAAGACCTTTTTTATGACCAAAAACGCATCCAAAAGCATAAAAAACCTTTCAAAAAAATTCAATTTTACTTAGGCAGACGATTTTATTGCATATTCTTGCACAGAATACACCAAAAAGTGTAGAAAAAAATTGACTCCCAGATCTGAGTAGAGGAAGACCTTTTTTATGACCAAAAACGCATCCAAAAGCAAAAAAAACCTTTCAAAAAAATTTAATTTTACTTAGGCAGACGATTTTATTGCATATTCTTGCACAGAATACACCGAAAAGTGTAGAAAAAAATTGACTCCCAGATCCGAGTAGAGGAAGACCTTTTTTATGACCAAAAACATACCCAAAAGCATAAAAAACCTTTCAAAAAAATTCAATTTTTCTTAGGCAGACGATTTTATTGCATATTCTTGCACAGAATACACCGAAAAGTGTAGAAAAAATTGACTCCCAGATCCGAGTAGAGGAAGACCTTTTTTATGACCAAAAACGCATCCAAAAGCATAAAAAACCTTTCAAAAAAATTCAATTTTACTTAGGCAGAGGATTTTATTGCATATTCTTGCACAGAATACACCGAAAAGTGTAGAAAAAAATTGACTCCCAGATCCGAGTAGAGGAAGACCTTTTTTATGACCAAAAACGCATTCAATAGCATAAAAAACCTTTCAAAAAAATTTAATTTTACTTAGGCAGAGGATTTTATTGCATATTCTTGCACAGAATACACCGAAAAGTGTAGAAAAAAATTGACTCCCAGATCTGAGTAGAGGAAGACCTTTTTTATGACCAAAAACGCATCCAAAAGCAAAAAAAACCTTTCAAAAAAATTTAATTTTACTTAGGCAGACGATTTTATTGCATATTCTTGCACAGAATACACCGAAAAGTGTAGAAAAAAATTGACTCCCAGATCCGAGTAGAGGAAGACCTTTTTTATGACCAAAAACGCATCCAAAAGCAAAAAAAACCTTTCAAAAAAATTCAATTTTACTTAGGCAGACGATTTTATTGCATATTCTTGCACAGAATACACCGAAAAGTGTAGAAAAAAATTGACTCCCAGATCCGAGTAGAGGAAGACCTTTTTTATGACCAAAAACGCATCCAAAAGCATAAAAAACCTTTCAAAAAAATTCAATTTTACTTAGGCTGACGATTTTATTGCATATTCTTGCACAGAATACACCGAAAAGTGTAGAAAAAAATTGACTCCCAAGTCCGAGTAGAGGAAGACCTTTTTTATGACCAAAAACACACCCAAAAGCATAAAAAACCTTCCAAAAAAATTCAATTTTTCTTAGGCAGACGATTTTATTGCATATTCTTGCACAGAATACACCGAAAAGTGTAGAAAAAAATTGACTCCCAGATCCGAGTAGAGGAAGACCTTTTTTATGACCAAAAACGCATCCAAAAGCATAAAAAACCTTTCAAAAAAATTCAATTTTACTTAGGCAGACGATTTTATTGCACATTCTTGCACAGAATACACCGAAAAGTGTAGAAAGAAATTGACTACCAGATCCGAGTAGAGGAAGACCTTTTTTATGACCAAAAACACACCCAAAAGCATAAAAAACCTTTCAAAAAAATTCAATTTTTCTTAGGCAGACGATTTTATTGCATATTCTTGCACAGAATACACCGAAAAGTGTAGAAAAAAATTGACTCCCTGATCCGAGTAGAGGAAGACCTTTTTTATGACCAAAAACGCATCCAAAAGCATAAAAAACTTTTCAAAAAAATTCAATTTTACTTAGGCAGACGATTTTATTGCATATTCTTGCACAGAATACACCGAAAAGTGTAGAAAAAAATTGACTCCCAGATCCGAGTAGAGGAAGACCTTTTTTATGACCAAAAACGCATCCAAAAGCATAAAAAACCTTTCAAAAAAATTCAATTTTACTTAGGCAGACGATTTTATTGCATATTCTTGCACAGAATACACCGAAAAGTGTAGAAAAAAATTGATTCCCAGATCCGAGTAGAGGAAGACCTTTTTTATGACCAAAAACGCATCTAAAAGCAAAAAAAACCTTTCAAAAAAATTCAATTTTACTTAGGCAGACGATTTTATTGCATATTCTTGCACAGAATACACCGAAAAGTGTAGAAAAAAATTGACTCCCAGATCCGAGTAGAGGAAGACCTTTTTTATGACCAAAAACGCATCCAAAAGCATAAAAAACCTTTCAAAAAAATTCAATTTTACTTAGGCAGACGATTTTATTGCACATTCTTGCACAGAATACACCGAAAAGTGTAGAAAAAAATTGACTCCCAGATCCGAGTAGAGGAAGACCTTTTTTATGACCAAAAACGCATCCAAAAGCATAAAAAACCTTTCAAAAAAATTCAATTTTACTTAGGCAGACGATTTTATTGCACATTCTTGCACAGAATACACCGAAAAGTGTAGAAAAAAATTGACTCCCAGATCCGAGTAGAGGAAGACCTTTTTTATGACCAAAAACACACCCAAAAGCATAAAAAACCTTTCAAAAAAATTCAATTTTTCTTAGGCAGACGATTTTATTGCATATTCTTGCACAGAATACACCGAAAAGTGTAGAAAAAAATTGACTCCCAGATCCGAGTAGAGGAAGACCTTTTTTATGACCAAAAACGCATCCAAAAGCATAAAAAACCTTTCAAAAAAATTCAATTTTACTTAGGCAGACGATTATATTGCATATTCTTGCACAGAATACACCGAAAAGTGTAGAAAAAAATTGATTCCCAGATCCGAGTAGAGGAAGACCTTTTTTATGACCAAAAACGCATCTAAAAGCAAAAAAAACCTTTCAAAAAAATTCAATTTTACTTAGGCAGACGATTTTATTGCATATTCTTGCACAGAATACACCGAAAAGTGTAGAAAAAAATTGACTCCCAGATCCGAGTAGAGGAAGACCTTTTTTATGACCAAAAACGCATCCAAAAGCATAAAAAACCTTTCAAAAAAATTCAATTTTACTTAGGCAGACGATTTTATTGCACATTCTTGCACAGAATACACCGAAAAGTGTAGAAAAAAATTGACTCCCAGATCCGAGTAGAGGAAGACCTTTTTTATGACCAAAAACACACCCAAAAGCATAAAAAACCTTTCAAAAAAATTCAATTTTTCTTAGGCAGACGATTTTATTGCATATTCTTGCACAGAATACACCGAAAAGTGTAGAAAAAAATTGACTCCCAGATCCGAGTAGAGGAAGACCCTTTTTATGACCAAAAACGCATTTAAAAGCATAAAAATCTTACCATAAAGTTGTAAATTCAGATGTTTATTACATGAACATTTTGCTTTCTCTTTACGATCAGCAAAAAATTTTGCTTCCTTGTGGAGAAAGCAAAATTTTATTGCCAACATGTGAATTTTTGATTTTTTTAACTTTCATTAATTCTTTAAATTTACCTCAAATGAATACTTTATATATATTGATCGATTCGTCTTGACGTAAAGAATACGATTTTTTTATATATAACCTTAAATTTTTCTATTTAAAAATTTTTTCGAATAAAAAAAAATTTTTGGAAAAAAGACCATAAAATTTTTTTTTGGAGTATTTTTCAAAATCCTTTGGTCAGATTTGAGATATTAATATGATAAATGAGCCTACTAAATTTTATCTAAATCTATTAAAACCTGTTAAAGTTATCTTCTAAACAAAAAAGAGATCCACACACACACACACACATACATCCGGACAATTGATCAGGATTTCATATAACATGTTTCTATAAAGAAAAAAAATTGTTTCCGCCTCTTTGAAAAGTTTTATAAACGAAAGGACTACAAAGCTTCCTCCACGAGAAAGCAAAAAAAAGATAATATATAAATTTATTCTACTATTTTTATTTTGTTTCATCATTATAGCATTGTGTGTTTTTCGAAAAGGTAGGAATCTGTTTTACCGACTGGAGGTACTTTGCCAACAGTCGGTAAGGTAGGAATATGGCAGATATCTTAACGCAGCCAATAAGGTAGGAATCTGTTTTACCTACTGATGGTACTAAGTCGAGATCAAAAAAGTAATTAAATACCTAAAAGAAATAATTTTCCTTGAAATTTTAAAAATATTACAAATAATAAAACTTGTAACATTTAACAATGCACAGTTTTATAAAAATCTTCTTTGTCTTTTGCTTTTATTAAATATTCATTTATTTTGGTTTTTTTTATTTAAAGTCATAATTATTGTTATTTGAAAAAATATTCATATATGTTATCGATGAGTGAACAACCGTCAAGGTTACAATTATTTTACATTTTTTTTTTTCTAAAACACATGTGCCATAAATGTCCATGTAATGATATTTAAATGTTGAGACATGTTAAATACAACTGATTAAACAGAAAAAAAACTTATTTACAAAAAAAAAAAGATAAAATTTATTCTATTTCGAATAGATTAAAAACAAAAACCGGTAATTTAAAGTAACAGAAATGTAGCAAATTTTTTGTGAAAATAATTTTTGTTTCTTATTTTGATATTTGCTGTTCAGAGAGGATTAAAAATACATGGTAACATTTTTAATTAGTTCATTCAAAAATTATTCTAACTTTTTATTGTAAGGTTAGGGAAAAACGATATTAGGAGGATTATTTTTATGTTATTAAATTAATAATGTAACTGAATTAATTAAATTAATTCGTTAATCGAAGAAGTTGAATTAATAACGTCACTGAATTAATTAGATAATAATCAAAGTAATTAAATTAAATAGGTAATATCAAAGGAATTTAATTAATAACGTAACTGAATTAATTACATTAATTAGGTATTCAATATAATTAAATTAGTTATATTAATTAGATATTTAAAATAATTAAATTAATAACGTAACGTGATCAATTAAATTAATTAGATAATTAAAGAAATTTAATTAATAACGTAATTGAATGAATTAAATTAATTAGGTAATCAAAATAATTAAATCAATAACGTAATTGAATTAATTAAATAAAATCGGTAATTCAAGTAATTAAATTAATTATCTTAATTCGATAATCAAACTAATTAAATTAATAACGTAACGTAATCAATTATATTAATTGTAGAATTAAAGTAATTAAATTATTAACGTAGCGGAATCAATTAATTTAATAACGTAACTGAATAAATTAAATTAATTAGATAACTGAAATAATTAAATTAATTAAATTGATTCGATAACTGAATTAATTAAAGTAATTAGATAATTAAAGTAAGTGAATTAAATAAATTAATTATGTTACTGAATTACAGAAATAAATTAGATAATTAAAGTAAATAAATTAATTAAGTAATTTCATGAATTTGCTAATTAAATTAATTAAACTTATATATAAATTTACTATTTAAGCTGAAGGAAAAAGATAATCAATTTCAGAATCGATAATCATTTTCAGAATTAACAGACCATCTCAGAATGAATAGCAACACATCATCAATCTTCATGCAACAATCATTAGATTTTCAATTTCTATCTGTTTGTCACTACATTACTATTTTTGGTATTTATTTTTACAACAATGATTTAATTACACTTGATGAGAAAAGTCAGTCTGTTCCTGTTTTAAATACTTTGTTTGAGTATTTAAATAAATCGAAAAATGAATCCGAGGCAAAATTTCAACTTCTAAAAAAAGTACTAAAGGGAAGTGATCTCTATGGTGGTGGAGAAAATGAATCACTTGGTATGAAATACGTTGATGAAACATATCAGTACATCATTAACAAGGCTCTATTTTCTCACTATGGAAACATTAATGGATATTTGGCTAAAATCATCAATACGGTGGATGATGTAAATTATTTGGTTTTTAAGGAGAAGGTGTTTCAGCATCTTTCGGAAAATTACACAAGTAGGGAATATTGTTCCAATGATATTCCGTTAGGGAATTACGATTCCAAAAAAAAGTTAGGGAATTACGATTCCAAAAATAAGTTAGGGAATTATGATTCAAAAAATAATCCATTAGATAATTATGATTCAAATAATATTCCGTTAGGAAAAAACAGTTGCAAACTTAACGGATTGACAATTCAAAAAGTTTTTCATGATCACATTTGGCCCATTTTTCCTCAACCCGAAAAAGATATGAGCATAATTGACGTGGATTATATATACGCAATGGTAGGTTTAAAAATCATGAGATCTGTATCATCCACGACTCCAAATCTTACCTTTCAGGAATATATTTTAATCTCCCGTGAGATTTATTTGCAGGACTTTAATAACGAAACCTATGAAATGGTAATAAATTTATTTTCAACACCAGCATTATTTTTCTACGCCTACAATCAAAAGGCAAAATTTCAAGAAATTGATTTTATCCCAAATGATAAATTTTGGATTGAAGCTTATGAAAATTTATTCACCCACATCAATTTAATGATGAACAAAATTGTACAGGACGAAATTGAAAATAGTTTGCATTATAAACTTAACAAGAAAATAAGTGTTATAAAAAGTCGTACGACCATTGCTGTTGAAATACTAAAACAATATTGTGATTATAAACATATAGCAAAAATACTTGCTGTGGAATTTTATAAAACCTTTTATCTTTGGATAACAAAATTAATTCTTCATAAACAATGCAAAATTCATTATCTTTCTAATTTGGAAAAAGAATACAAGGCTCAATTCATCGAAATAGAAAAAATATACAATAAAATTGTTAGCAATGCAATTGAAAAAGTATTAATTGATAATAAATTAGTGGAAATTGATTCAAATGCAACTATTATATCTGCACAAGTTTCTAATTATGCGAATGAATATATAATTATTCCACGAAAGCAAAATGATGATATATTCTTTTTGTTTGCAGTAGAAAATGAAAATTTGAATTATAATTTTTATGCATTTAGACAAGTGAATAATGTTTTGTCTCTATTGTCAAGTAGAGAAAACGAACAAGAATTTGCTAAAGCAATTGCTAATGATTCGTCAATAAAAATGGAAATACCAAGATTTTATCAAACTCTTAAATACAGTAATGAAGATCACAAGGGATTTGTCCAAAGAGTTGCCGATATAAAGGCAAAAGAATTTGTAAATAATCTGATGATGTACAATTATGATGAAACATTTGGAGAGAAAGTTTTAAATTTTGCATCATCTCTTATACCATTTTATAGTTGTATTGAAAATGCCAATGAAGGTAAAGTTGCAGATGCTACATTAAGTTGTTCCCTGGACATTGTTAGTCTTATTCCACTAGTAGGTTTTGCTGCAAAATATTCAGCTAAACTAAGCAGTAGTTTGATAATCGAAATTAGCAAAAGTCACCTAATCAGTAAAACACTATCGGGAGTTATAACCAAAGTACCAATAACGTTAGTTTTAAATCATATTTCCAAAATAGCTGTCCGTACAATAGCTAGAGAAATTCTAACTAAAGGAGTTTTAAAAGATTTAACTGTAGCCTCCCTTCGAACACTGGATCCTGGATTTGAATTATTTCACCAATTAAATCGAAATGGTTTTAAAGTATTACGTAAATTGTTTCGAAAAATAAATTTGAAAAATACTCCTAAAGAATTTTTATTAATTATAAAATTGTTACGAAAGAAGGTAAAACGTACCATGTCTTTACTTACTGATCAGACAGGATTGGTACCTTTGATTCTAGCCAGACATAACGATTACAATATTGTTAGATACTTTTATCCAGGTGGATCAAATTTTTTTGGACCTACTTGCCTAAAATCATTTGATAACACTGCGGAATTAAGAAGCATCGAGGGTTATTCATTTCCAGTACCAGTAGTGAGGGAATCCAATGGAATTTACAAACAATATATTCCAGAAACTGGTAAAACATTTGATGGTAAGTTAAAAATTCATGACAATGATATTCTTCATCGAATTGGATTTTTGTTGGAAGAACAATTGGCACAAGTTGGTAGAAATAAAATTAATTATATCTATTATAATACAGTTGAATTTGGAAAGGAATTAGTTTTAAATTCCAATGTACAGAATACAGTTTCAGAATTAGTCAATCAAAATTTGGGAGTTACAGAACATGTTGAGGATAATTTTGAACAATATGCTAATTCACTATTGTTACCGGAGATTATTGATGAGAATACAGCGAATGTTTATCCGGAATTTCACATTAATGTTAGGGGTAACGTTGAAGGGACAATTCCTCATGTGACAAATTTAGAATTTACCGGTACTCTGCGAGGTAATATAGTGGATGATAATTTTCAAGTAGAAAAATTTGAATTTCCAAGTACATCAAAGGGAATAGCAGGAGATTTTAATTTAAAAGTTCCGGAGAATAAAAAAAGAATAGGAGTGGATTTGGAATATCGTCATAAAAAATTTCGCCACAATTCAGATGATATTAGATTAGAAATTATGGAATCAAATTTACAAAATCGAAAAATTCAAGATGGAAATAATTTTGATACTAGGGAATTTAATGAAATGGCAAAAGTTCCAAAATTAATTTTTCAGAATCAACCAAAAGATGCTATTTTAGAAAAGATATCAAATAGTGAAAGAAGAATAGATACAAAAAATTCATTACAACATCAAATTGATAATATTCCTGGTACATCGCGACAATTTGTAAATGTAAATCCAATATTCTATGAAAATATTATAAAAGATACGTATAAAAAATATGTGGATATTTTAATAGAATTTAAAAATATTGGCTTATTTACCCTAAGCAAGAAGAGGGAAAAAATTAATTTTCTACGTAATGCTGCAAATAAATTAGCACTTTTACAAATTGAAATTGGCCTACCAATGCAAAAACCAACAAAATTTTGGTACACTCAAATAATTCGTGGATTATTTAATATTAATTATATAAGAAAATTAAAAGGAAAAACATTTTATTTCAGTGATATTACTTTATTGAGTAATCAACCTTTAGGTAAACAACCATCAAATAAATTAAAAGATTTTCCATTTGAATTGGAAGTTCGTTATCATTTGACAATTGATTTTTCATATGGTTTTGTGGATTTAACTAATTTTCATTCAGAATTGAAAAATAATTATCTTACATTCAATGATGTATTATTTACAGTAACTGATACATTTTACACACCAAATGGTAAAATTTTAAATGTTCAAATGAAAAATAATATTATGACAAAAGAAAATTGGTATAATTTAAGACAACAAGATATTAAAAATTTACAGCAACAGGAAAAAATAATTGAATCACCACGTATGAAAATAATTACAGATGCCGCTTATTTTGTCAGTCAAAATACAATTATGAATAAATTTCAAAAAATAAGGGATTATATATCAAATTTCATTTTAACAATAAATACCGCTACATTAAATATTGTACCAAATTATAATGAATTTGCTCAAGATTTAATAAAAATGAAATTTGAAAGTCCTTATCGAAATTATATTATTAAAAATTATCGTTATATTAATGATGTTCTTTACCATCAAAATTTAGATGAAATTATTGAATTAAATGAAGCAAAACGACGAATTAATGATGTATATAATTTTATGAATTTTCAAAATATTGATGAAACATTTCTAAATTATAAAAAAATACAAAATATCGAACAACAATTACGTTTTGAAGATTATTTTGTTTTATATTCACAATTAAATAATAAATTATTGGAAAATAAAGATGGAATAAGACGTTTTGAAGTTGCAATTAATCGTCTTGGCTTAAGACAAAGTGGAGAGGAATTTTTAAAACAACCAATAAAACTTTATCGTAGTGAAATGATGGCCAAGGAAGTATCATCAAAATTTTATAAATCATTACGTGAAAAAAATATTATTGTATTTGATAAAATTTTAAAATTTTCCCCCAATCGAAATCAAGAGGAATTAAAATATTTAAATAAAGTAAGTACATCAACGAGAATTCCATTATTAATGGAAATAACATTGAAAAATCAAGTGGGTGTTGTTGATGTTAATCGAATAATTAATAGTGATAATTCATTTCACGTTGTAACGTCAAATTTTCAATTTCAAATTTATGAAATTATATTAAAGGAAAATCTTAATGGTAAAATGATGTTAATAAAAATGCATGATTTTGAAAGTACAACTGAAACACGAATGATTAGAATGGCAGATAGACTTTATGAATTATTTTCAACGGAGACAAAATTTTATTCCGATATTGTTGAAAATTTTGATTAATAAATTGTGTTAAGGGAAAAATTAATTTTTTTTATTAAATAAAAGTTAATTTTAATAAAAAATTTAGTTTTTATATAAAAATTATTTTTAATAACCGAAGTAATTTCGTTATTCTAATAAATAGAATAATTTTAATGTTAATTTCAAATATATTTACTTAATTATTATTAACTCAATGTTATAGGAGAAATTTGTTAAAAATTTTAAAATGTTATTTAAATATTAAAAAATGTTAATATTAGGTCAATAGCATTTTATTTATTAAACTTTAGATAAGATTTTGAAAAAGAAAAAAAATTGTAAATTATGTAAATAAAAAAATTAATTTGAATACAAAAATTTAATATGACCGATATGGGATATTTTTAATTTATTTACTAAACAATTTTAAAAAACGGAGAAACTATTTTAAGAAATATTTAAAGAAATATTTTAAGAAATAATTTTAAGAAACTATTTTTAATTAATTTAATAACAATTTTTTTTTTTTTTGAAACATTTAAAATTAATACAAAATAGTTAAATTTCAATTGAAAAAATTTTCTAATTAATTTAATTAGCTTTCGTCGGGAGAATATTTTTTTTGATGCACGTGTTTTGGTACATATTATTGACATGATGTCAAAATGTCATTAAACTCTAAACAAATATAACAATGAACAACTGAATATACAATTAAAGAAGATAACAGTGTGTATAATTATTTATAAATTAAATAAATCAGTTTTTTCTTTCTATTTATTACAAATTACATACCAAATTTTCAAACAGTCAAAGATATCAATTTTTGAGAAATTCAATTATCTCTTTTGATGCAGTACCATCTGATGAGGGAGAATTAATTCTGTATTAGGTAAAAAATAAATAATTTATTTCAATAAAAATAAGGATAATAAAATTAAATTGATATGAGTTATACAAAATTATAATTATAATTAGTTAAATATAAATCAATTATTGTAAATAATAATCAACTTTCAATAATTAAATTAAAACAATTTTTTAAATACATTCAACAAACATTAATTGTAAAATTCATTTAAATTAATCACTTAATTAATTATTTTTCATTAATAATTAATGATAAGTTAATAATAATTATTAGATAATTATAATTGATGTATATAATTAATTATAACTAATGACTTTAATTATTTATAATTATTTATATTAAATTAATTATAAATAACTTTATAGAATAAATTATAAATTATTATAAACAATTAATTGTAATTGCATTTTATTGCAATTTTTCATCTTAATTAATAAAAACTAAATGTATTTAACGTAGAGAAATAATTCCAAATAATTCAAAATTAAATCATTAATTGCAATTAAATTGACTGGTAATCTAAATTAATAATTCTAAATAATATTGGTTCTTCAATAATTAAATTAAAAAATTTGTTAAATACATTCAATTTTCATGAATTTATTGTGAAAAATTACGAAAATTCATTGAAATTATTAGAATAATTAATTATTTTTAATTAATAATTAATTATAAGTTAATAATAATTATTAGATAATTATAACTAATGAATTTAATTAATTGTAAATAATTAAATATAATTAATTATAAATAACTATATAGAATTAATTATAAATAACTATATAGAATTAATTATAAATAACTACAAGAATTAATTATAAGTAACTATATAAAATTAATTACAAATAACTGTATAGAATTAATTATAAATTATTATATACAATTAATTAAAATTACATTTCATTGCAATTTTTTATCTTAATTGATAACAGTTGAATGTATTTAACAGATTGCAATTAAATTAATTAGTGATCTAAATTTATAATTCTAAATAATAAAGGACCTTCAATAATTAAATTAAAATTATTTTTTAAATACCTTCAGCTTCCATTAATTAATATGAAAAATATTAAAATACATTCAAATTAATAGCATAATTAATTATGTCGAATTAATGAATAATTATAAGTTAACAATTTGTAACTTAATAACAATTAGAAGTTAATTACAAATTGATGAAAATAATTAATTGTTAACAATTGTTAAATACTTATATATATATATATATATTGAATTATAAATAACAACATAGAATTAATTTTGAATTATTGTAGGCAATTAATTATAATTGCATTTCTTAAATTTTTTTAACTTAATTAATAAAAGCTAATTTATATTAAATAATTATATATAATTTATTATATATAATATTATAAATTATAATTATCTTAATAATTATACGTTAATACTTCATTGTAGTTTTCTTAACATCTTTAGTCACTTTAATAAAATATGCACAATCTGTTAATGCTAAAATCGACATTGAATTATTAACTAAAGAATAATAATCATTTTCAGGATCAAGAGGAAATTGGAACTAATTAACAAAATTACAATTATGAACACATCAGTTTTCATTCAACAGTCATCAGAATTTCAATTTCTTTCTGTTTGTCACTATATTACAATTTTTGGAGTTTATTTTTACAACAATGATTTAATTACACTTGATGAGCGAAGTCAGTCTGTTCCTATTTTGAATACATTATTTGAGTATCTCAATAACTCTCAAGATGAATCCGAGGCGAAGCTTCAACTTTTAAAAAAAGTATTAAAGGGAAGTGATTTCTATGGTGGTGAAGAATATGAAACACTTGACATGAAATACGTTGATGCAACATATCAATACATCATTAGTAAAGCTCTATTTTCTCATTATGGAAACATTAATGGATATTTGGCTAAAATTATTAACTCTGCGGATGATGTAAATTACTCGGCTCTTAAGGAGAAGGTGTTTCAACATCTTTCGGAAAATTACACAACTAGGGAATATTGTTTCAATAATATTCCGTTAAGGAATTACGATTCCGATAACAATCCGTTAGGGAATTATAATTCCGATAATAATCCGTTTGGGAATTACGATTCCGATAATAATCCGATAGGGAATAATGATTTAAAAAATATTCCGATTGGAAATTATAGTTCCAATAATAATACGTTAGGGAATTATAGTTCCAATAGTACTCCTTTAGAGAATTTTGATTCCAATAGTACTTCTTTAAGAAATTACGGTTCCAATAATAATTCATCAGGAAATAATACTTCTAATAATATTCCTTCAGGAAATAGTTCCAAACTTAACGGATTAACAATTAAAAAAGTTTTCAATGATCACATTTGGCCAATTTTCCCCCAACCCGAACAGGACATGAGCATAATGGAAGTGAATTATATTTACGCAATGGTTGGTTTAAAAATCATTAAATCTGTATCAGCTACGTCTCCGAATCTTACTTTTCATGAATATATTTTAATCTCCCGTGAGATTGATTTACAGAATTTCAGCAACGAAACTTATGAAATGGTATTAAATTTATTTTCAACTCCAGCATTATTTTTCTACGCCTACAATCAAAAGGCTAAATTTCAAAAAATTGACAATTTTACCCTAACTGATGAATTATTAATTGAAGCTTACAAAAATTTATTTTCCCACATTAAATTCACAATGGAGAAATTTGTAAAAAATGATATTGAAAATAGTTTACATTACAAACTTAAAAATGAAATAAATACACTAAAAAGTCGTACTTTTTATGCCTATGAAATATTACGATTGTATTGTAATTACAAAAATGTTGCACAAATATCTCCAGTTTATGTGAATATTTATAAAACCCTCTATCTTTGGATGACAAAATCAATTCTACCCACACGTTGTCAAAAAGAAGATTTTCCTGATTTAAAAGAAATATATGAAAAGCAATTCAAGAATGTCGAGGAATTATACAATAAAATAGAAAGAATTGCAATTGAAAAAGTATTAGTCGATAGTAATTTAACGGAAAAAATGAATTCAAATTCAGTTATATTAGCACGAGTTCCCGACTATCCGCAGCGGTGTACTTATTGTTCACCAACTCCAAGAAAGACAAACAACGATATTTATCTTTTGTTTGCAATAAAAAAATTGGATTTTTACGCCTTAAGGCAAGAAGATAATGTTTTATCCCTATTAACAAATAAAGGAAATGAACAAAAGTTTGCTAAAGCAGTTGCTAATGATTCATCTCTAAGAATGGAAATTGCAGTATTTTCCCAAACTCTCAAATACAGTAATGAAGATTACAGAGGATTTATTGCAAGAGTTGCGGAAATAAAAACAAAACAATTTGTTGATAATCTGATAAGTTACTATTATGACGAAACAATTGGGGAAAAATATTTAAATTTTCTAAAATCATTGATTCCATTTTACAGTTGTATCGAAAGTGCAAAAGCAGGAAGAATGGCAGAATCTGCTTTTAGTTGTTCAATGGATGTTCTCAGTCTAATTCCATTTGCTGGTTTTTTGGCAAAATATACAGCTAGGCTCACCAATAGTTTCGCAGTGGAAATTGGTAATAAATATCTAATCACTAATACTTTGGCAAGAACAGAAATTACCAAATTACCAATAATTACAGTTTTGAATCAAATTTCCCAAACTGCTGTTAAAACAATTGCAAAGGAAATTCTAACTCGAAGTCTTTTGAAAGATTTAACTGTTGCCTCCCTTCGAACCGTTGATCCTGGATTTGAATTCGTTTATCAAGTTAGTCGTTTTGGTTTTAAAGTATTTCGCGATTTGTTTCGAAGTATCGTGGAAAATTTCAAAAACATTAGGTCTGTTAAAATCAGAGTGGGATTAATAAAATCGTTATTAACAAATGCCAATCGGATGATGCATTTAGTTTCCGATCAAACTGGATTGGTACCATTGATTCTAGCCAGACACAATCGTTACAATATTGTTAGATACTTTTATCCCGGTGGATCAAATTTTTTTGGACCTACTTGCCTAACATCATTTGGTAACACTGCGGAATTAAGAATCATCGAGGGTTATTCATTTCCACTACCAGTAGTGAGGGAAGGAAATTACTACAAAGAATACATGCCCGAAACTGGTAAAATAGGAAAAGCTAAACTAAAAATGGATAATAATAATGATATTCTTCGTAAAATTGGTTATTTGCTGGAGGAACTTGTAGCAGAGGGACAGGATTTAAATGGAATTCATAATTATCACGTGTATCATAATACAATAAACTGGAAGAAAATAGTTAAAGATGAACAAAAATCGGTGAGTTTAAATCAACCATTAACAGACATACCTCAACATCAGTTTAATACCGAAGTTGGTTTTAGAGATTTACAAAATTCACAATCTTTAAATCCCCATTCGGAGATTCCGTTAGGAAACACAATAATGTACAGTAATCCTCAATTTTCGAATTTGGAAATGCAGTATAATTTAGGTGGGAATGTTGAGGTGTCAAATTTGGCTCAAGTGACAAATATGGAATACTTTGGTAATTTTATGGAAGATCCAAAATCCGAACTCCCGGGAACTTCAAATCAAATTGTTGAAACATTTTCTCATTCTAAAACATCGGCAAAACCACTTACTGTATACGATGTGGCTTTTCATATTCCAAAGAAGAGAAGAAAATTGAATGAAAATATTCCGCCAACGATTAGAAAAGTTGATGTATTGTCAAATGAGAAAAAAACCTCTTTGTATTATCAGAGTAGTATTGTGGATCCTGATGATATTCCCGGTACTTCAAAACAATTTTCGACTAGTCTAGAATCTCTTAATAATCAGAAAATTGGGAATCCAAATGGTAATTTAAATTCTAATTTGAGAATATCGGAACAATTATCAACAAGTCCGGAGTTGTCTATTGAAAATCGAAAAATTATGAATCCGATTGCTAATTCCAGAACTTGGGAACAATTTGGCAAAGTTTCGGAAAATTTGGCTAACAATCAACAGGAATTAGTGAATCCTGATGCTATTCCCGGAACATGGGAACAATTTGGCAAAGTTTCAGAGACTTTGGCTAACAATCAACAGGAAATAGTGAATCCCAATGAAATTTTTAGAACATCGGAACAATTTGGCAAAGTTTCGGAGACTTTGGCTAATAATCAACAGGAAATAGTGAATCCCAATGAAATTTTCGGAACATCGGAACAATTTGGCAAAGTTTCGGAGACTTTGGCTAATAATCAACAGGAAATAGTGAATCCCAATGAAATTTTCGGAACATCGGAACAATTTGGCAAAGTTTCGGAGACTTTGGCTAACAATCAGCAGGAATTAGTGAATCCTGATGCTATTACCGGAACATGGGAACAATTTGGCAAAGTTTCGGAGACTTTGGCTAACAATCAACAGGAATTAGTGAATCCTGATGCTATTCCCGGAACATCGGAACAATTTGGCAAAGTTTCGGAGACTTTGGCTAACAATCAACAGGAAATAGTGAATCCCAATGAAATTTTCAGAACATCGGAACAATTTGGCAAAGTTTCAGAAACATTTGTTAATAATCATCTAGAATTAGTGAATCCTGATGATATTCCCGGAACATCAAGACAATTTGAAAAAATATTAGAAACTTTGAAACAAAATAAAGAAATCGTGAATTCCAATTCCATTCCTAAAACACCAAAACATTTATTGAGTCATTTATATCCAAATGACTATATAAAAATTCTAACAAAATCAAAATACGATGAATATACAAATATTCTCCTCTTCTGGAAGAAAAATGGTTTACCAATTGTAAAATTAGAAAGAGAAAAACTAAATACCCTTCGCAATTGTGTAAATAAATTGGCCCTCCTTCAATTGGATCACGAATTACCATTTAATTATCCGAGAAGACTTTGGTATACACAAATAATAACGGGAAAAAATAATATTAATTTTTTAAAACGTTTAAAGGGTAAATATTTTTTCTTCAATGATATAACACTATTAAAAACTGAACCACCAGGTATTATGAAAAAAATGAAAAACTATAATCTAGAAGTTGAAGTACGTTATCATTTAACAATTGATTCATCATATGGATTTGTTGATTTAACACATTTTCATTCTGATTTTAAATATAATTACATGACATTTAACGATGTTATATTTAAAGTAACTGATACATTTCTCACACCAAATGAATTTGTATTAAATATACAATTAAAATATGAAGGTTTATCAAATGAATATTGGCGTAATTTAAGAATGGAAAATCTAAATGATTTAAAGAAAGAGGAAATAATTATTGAAACAACAAGAATGAAAATGATTAATAAGGCGGCAAATTTTCTTGCTGAATATTCACCACTTTGTACATATAAATTATCAAGAAATCATCTTTTAAATTTTATTTTAAGTACAAAATCAATTGGAATGGGTTTTACACCAACTTATAGTGCATTGGCTGATGATATTAAAAATATGAGAAGTCAACGACGTTATGAACATTGGAGAATTGAAAGTAATCGTTATATTCAAGATATATTGTCAAATTTAAATTTAGATAAAATTATACAATTGTCAGAGGCAAATCGTCGAATTGCTGTGATTTATAATTCAATTCATTTTCAAAATGTTAGAGAGGTATTTGAAAATTTTCGTAAAATACCAAATATTGAACAGAAAATTCGTTTTGAAGATTATTATGCATTATATTCACTTGTTAAAGAAGAAAGTTTATTAACAAATAGTGATGGAATAAGACGTTTTGAAGCAGCAATTAATCGATTGGGTTTACGGCAATCTGATGAGGAATTTGTTAAGGAACCAATAACACTCTATCGTTGTGAAATGATTAATAAAGATTTATCATCAAAACTTCGTATGGCATTAAAGAAAAAAGATATTATTGAATTTGGTAAATATATGAAATTTTCATCAAATCGTCAATTGGAAGAGAAAAATTGGATAAAATCATCAACACAAATTCCATTATTGATGGAACTTAAATTATTAAATCAAGTTGGTGTTGTTGATTTTAGTCGGGTATTAACAAATCAAAGACCATTTCATATGGCAATTTCAAAATTTGAATTTCTATTGGACGAAATACGTACTCGTTTTATTAATCATCGAAAAGTATTGGTTATGAAATTAAGTGATTCTGAAAGAACAACGGAAATAAGAATGATACAAATGGCAAATAAACTTAATGAATTATTTTCCACGGAGACAAAATTTTATTCCGATGATTTGTAAAGGGGAATAATTATTTTTTAATATTTAAAAATATTAAATTAATTTAAAAATTAATTTGAATTAATTAAACAAATTTTAAATTAATTTAATAATTTATGAATACTAAATTCTATATTTAATTATTTTTTAAATCATTTTTTCTGTTTATATATATATTGCCAATTTATTAATAATGGAAAAATTATTGAATCGACGAATAATTATTTATATCAACTGTAATAAATTTTATTTAAAGAATAAAAATTTAAAAATTTTAATACATTTTCTAATTTAATTATATGTTTAACAATTGTTTATCGTCATTTAATACAGTGGTATATGTACTTTACCACTGTTAAGAATACAATAATGTGGCAAATTTTTACTATCTAAAATAAATATATGCTAAAAGATAATAATTTTAAAATGTAGAGAATATTTAAAACACGTGTACAGAGAATATAATTAATAATTCCTTATATGTAAATAAAAGCTATATAAATATATTTATATATATATATATATGTATCAATTGACAACTAAACCTACAAAAAATAAAATGCGTATTATATTTTGTAGATAGTGAAAAATTAATTGTTTTTTTATTCATGAGAAACTTGTTATAATTAATTAGATTAGATAAAATGACAATTTATCTATTGTAGTATTTGCTGTAAAGTGGGAAAAAAAATTACACACAAAAAATCTTGCAAGGTAAATAAAATAATTTAGTTTTTTTTTTTAATTACATTCAACTTTTATTAATTAATATGAAAAATTGATTCAAATTAATGTAATTAATGATTTTTCATTAATAATTAATTGTAAGTTAATAATAATTATTAGTTAATTGTAACTAATGAATATAATTAATTATAAAATAAATATTTATATATAACTACATAGAATTAATTATAAATAATTATATATAATTAATTATAAATAACTATATATAAAATTAATCATAAATTATTGTATAAAATTAATTGTGATTCCATTTTATTGCAATTTTTCATCTCAATTTATAAAAGATAAATGTATTTAACAAATTGTAATTAAATTAATTAGTTATCTAAATTAATAATTGTAAATAACCATGGTTCTTCAATAATTAAATAAAAAAAAATTACAATTAATTATATTCAACAAATATAATTAATTCTAATTTATGAATTATAATAATCACTTATATATATATATATATATAATTAATTATATATAATTATATATTAATTGTTAAATGTTATTTTCTTAACATCTTTGGTCAATTCATAAAATATCAACAATCTGTTAATATGAAAAACAACATTGAATTATAAACTGATAATAACTTTCAGGATCAAGAGGAAATTGGAATTAATTAAAAAAATTACAATGATGAACACATCAGTCTTCATTCAACAGTCATCAGAATTTCAATTTCTTTCTGTTTGTCACTACATTACAATTTTTGGTATTTATTTTTACAACAAAAATTTAATTACCCTTGAAAAACGAAGTGATTCTGTAGAGATTTTAAATACTTTGTTTGATTATCTCAATAAATCAGTAAATGAAAATGAGGCGAAACTACAACTTTTAAAAAAAGCACTAAAAGAAAGTGATCTCTACGGTGGTGGAAAAAATGAAACACTTGACATGAAATACGTTAATGAAACATATCAGTACATCATTAGTAAAGCTCTATTTTCTCATTATGGAAACATTAATGGATATTTGGCTAAAATTATTAACTCTGCGGATGATGTAAATTACTCGGTTCTTAAGGAAACGGTGTTTCAACATCTTTCGGAAAATTACACCAGTAAGGAATATTGTTCCAATGATATTCCGTTAGGGAATTACGATTACGATAACAATCCGTTAGGGAATTATAATTCCGATAATAATCCGTTTGGGAATTACGATTCCGATAATAATCCGATAGGGAATAATGATTTAAAAAATATTCCGATTGGAAATTATAGTTCCAATAATAATACGTTAGGGAATTATAGTTCCAATAATAATCCGTTGGGAAATTACAATTCCAACAATATTTCTTCAGGAAATTATAGTTCCGACAATATTTCATCAGAAAATTATAGTTCCAACAATATTTCGTCAGGAAATTACAGTTCAAAACTTAACGGATTAACAATTCAAAAAATTTTTGATGATCACATTTGGAGAATTTTTCCCCAACCCGAACATGACATGAGCATAATGGAAGTGAATTATATTTACGCAATGGTTGGTTTAAAAATCATTAAATCTGTATCAGCTACGTCTTCGAATTTTACGTTCAAAGAATATATTCTAATCTCCCGCGAGCTTGATTTCCAGAAATTAAATAATGAAACTTATGAAATGGTAAAAGATTTATTCTCAACTCCAGCATTATTTTTCTACGCCTACAATGAGAAAACTAAATTCCAAAAAATAGATGATTTTACAAATGTTGAATTTTGGAATAAAGCTTATGAGAATTTATTTTCATATATTAATTCAACTATGAGAAAAATTGTACAAGAAAATATTGAAAATAGTTTACATAATAAAATTCAAATGAAAATGAATAAATTAAAAACACGAACTCTTATTGCAAACGAATTACTTGCATTAATATGTAATTATAAAAATATTGCACAAGTCTCGCCAATTCAAGTGGTATATTATAAAACCTTTTATCTTTGGATTACAAAATTATTACTACCCAAACATTGTGATAAAGAGAATCTTAACGATTTGCAAATATATTATCAATATCAATTCAAAGAGGTCGAGGAATTATACAATAAAATAGAAAGAATTGCAATTGAAAAAGTATTAGTCGATAGTGAATTAGTTGAAAAAATTAATTTAAATTCTACTGTTATGTTTGCGCGAGTTCCTGATTATCAGCAAGGTTGCAATTTATGTTCACCAATTCCACGAAAGGAAAATGACGATATTTTTCTTTTATTCGCTGTTAAAGAGGAAAAAACTGTATTTTACGCTTTGCGGCAAGAGAATAATACATTGTCTTTATTAATAAACAATGGAAACGAACAAGAGTTTGCTAAAGCAATTGCTAATGATTCTTCTCTAAAAATGGAAATTGCAATATTTTCCAAAACTCTTAAATTTAGGAATGAAGATTACAGAAGTTTTATTGCCAGAGTTGCGGATATAAAAACAAAATTGTTTGTAGATAATTTGAAAATGCACTATTATGAAGAAACGGTTGGGGAGAAATTGTTAAATTTTGCAAAAACACTGATTCCATTTTACAGTTGTATCGAAAGTGCAAAAGCAGGAAGAATGGCAGAATCTGCTTTTAGTTGTTCAATGGATGTACTCAGTCTTATTCCATTTGCTGGATGGGCGACAGAATATACAATTAAAATAACCAATAGTTTGACAGTAGAAATTGGTAATAAATATCTAATCACCAATACAATTGCAAGATCAGGAATTATCAGCACATTACCAATAAGTGCGGTATTAAATGAAATTTCCACAATTGCTGTTCGAACCATAGCACAAGAAATTCTCACCAAAAGTTTTTTGACAGATTTAACTGTAGCTTCTCTTCGAACAATTGATCCTGGTTTTGAATCCGTATACCAAATACTTCGTTTTGGTTTAAAAGGATTAAGGAAATTATTCCAGAGTATAGTTTCTAATTTTAAGAAAATTCCCTCATTTCGAAATATGGTTGTGTCAATAAATTCCTTATTGAAGAATATAAATAAAAATTTACTAATCGATCATACAGTACCATTGGTTTTGTCAAATCAAAACGATTTTAACATTGTTCGATACTTTTATCCAGGTGGATCGCACTTTTTTGGACCTACTTGCCTAACATCATTTGGAAACACTGCGGAATTAAGAAGCATCGAGGGGTATTCATTTCCAATTCCCGTTGTACCGGAAAAATCACCTCAAGGAATTTTTTACAAACAATACCTACCGGAAACGAATAAATTATCTGATATTACCTTTAAAAAAGATTCGAATGATATTCTTCGTCGTGTTAGTTATTTAATAGATACTATGATTTCCGAAGGAAAAGATATAAATGTAATTCGTAATTATCATGTTTATCATAATACAATAAATTGGAATCAAGTTAAAAAAGAACCATCGGATTTAAATGAAATTGTTGATCCCCCAGAATCTGCCACAAATACAAGAGAAACTATATTGCAACAGAATTTACAATTATTACCAACTTCTGAATTTCAAGTCACTTTACGAGGAACTGTAACAGGTCCTAATCTTCCTGAAATTACAAATATCGAATTAATAGGAACTTTACGAGGTACCATTGATGGTATCACATTTCCCATTGTTCCTCATTCCGAAGTACCGAATATAATTCCAAAAACAGAAGTTGATTCCTCGGAATTTTTAAATTCTAAAACATTGAAAGATCTTTTAAACGAAGGAGAGAAGGCACCTCCTCCTCCTCCTCCTGCATCTGTTAAATTAGAACCACTTTCTGATTTTGAATTTGATGAATCTTTAGATAAAATTGTAATACCTGATAGTGATACTAATTCATTGGTAAATACAGAAATTTCCGAAGCTGTATTAAATAATAATTTTTTCTCCCCAAAGAGACCAACATCTGAATTAAATACTGTAACAAAAAAAAGAAAAACAGAAAAATCAAAAAAAAAACCGACAACAATTGAAGAACTTGATAATATTCCCAGTACATCGAGACAAGAGAAATTAAATTCAAAATTATATACAAAAATTATACCACTACCAACGTATGATAAATATGTTGAAGTTTTAACAGCATGGAAACGATATGGTTTATCATATGTAAATCATGGTAGAAGTGAATTATATTATTTACGTACTATTGTAAATAAATTGGCCCTTTTACATTTAGATCAAGGCTTTCCATTAAATATTCCAAATAAACTTTGGTACAATCAAATTGTAAAAGGTGAAAAAAATATTGAATTTTTAAAAAATTTACAAGGAAAATCATTTTTTTTCAATGACATTACTTTATTGAGAACTCATCGAAGAAGTTCAATACTTAAAAGAATGAAACCAAATGATGCTGAAATAGAAGTAAAATATTATATAACAATTGATTCACCATATGGATTTGTTAATTTAAAAGATTTTCATTATTCACTACAAAATAATATTGTTACATTTAATGATGTGATATTTAGAGTTATAAAAATTATTTCAACAAAATATGATAAAATTTTACATATTTATTTAGAAAATCAAGGTATGACGAAAGAATATTGGCGACAATTAAGAGTTAATAATCTTAATAATTTACATAAGGAGGAAAAACTTTTAGAACATCCTAGAATGTCAAGTATTATTTATGCTGCAAATTATATATCTGAAGAAGCGCCACTTTGTACATTTGAAACATCAAAAAATTATCTTACAAATTATATATTAAGTACCGATCCAGTTAGAACACATCTTGTTCCAACATACGAAATATTTGCCGACGATATTGTGAATTTAGATTTTCATCATTCATATGATAATTGGAAAATTGCCGACAATTGTTATATTAAAGATGTATTATTTAATTATAATTTAGATGAAATTAATACATTGCTCGAGGCAAGACGAAGAATTAATATGTTATATGATTTTACTTATTATCAAAATATTGAAGAGGTATATCATAGTTATACTTTATTAATAAATGCTAAACAAAAAATTCGATTTGAAGATTATTATACAATGTATTCATATGCAAAACATAATTTGGCAATGACAAAAATTGGAATAAGACGAATGGAAGTTGCAATTTATCGTCTTGCACTTAGACAATGTGGTGCAATTATGAAATTATTTAAACTTCATCGTGTTGAAATAATTACTAAGGAAATGTCAACAATTATTAGTGAAATATTTAATAATAATAAATTATTTGCATTTGATAATTGTAGAAAATTTTCCCTTCATCGTGGTGTTGAGGCAGTTAAAATTTTAAATACACCAATGAAATCGACAGAAATTCCTTTATTAATGGAAGTAACATTGAGAAATCAAGTTGGTCTCGCCGACATTAATGATATATTAACTAATGAATATTTATCATATGTAATTACTGCAAATTTGGAATTTGTTATTGATGATTTAAAAATTGAAACACTTTATGGTAATAAAGTGATGATTATGAAAATGCATGATTATGAAAGTCCAACAGAAAAAAGAATGATTCAAATGGCAAATAGACTTAATGAATTATTATCAACGGAAACAAATTTTTTTTGGGATTTAAAAGAAATATAAGGGAAAATAATATTTATTTGTTATTTGTTATAAGGAAAATATTCAATAGTAAAATATGTAATCAAAATTTAATAAAAAAAACTTTCTTTTAATCTTAATTCATAATTCATTCAATGGTAATTAATTAATTATTATATAACAAGTAACTCTTTGTTAATTCTGTGGTTATTAATTCAATGGTAATTATAGTTCTTTGAAAATACATGCAATTATAATTATTTTAATTCTATGATAATTCATTCCTTAAAAATTTATACGGTGACATTTAATTCCATGATAATTAATTCCATTATCATTAATTCTATGATAATTCACTCCTTAAAAATTTATACAGTGACATTTAATTCCATGATAATTAATTCCATCATCATTAATTCCATGATAATTAATTCCGTGATCATTAATTCTATGATAATTAATTCCGTAATATTTAATTGTATGATAATTATTTCAATGATAATTTATTCCTTAACATGACAATTAATTTCATTATAATTAATTTCATAACATTCAGTTACATTATAGTTAATTCAATGATAATTTCATCATAACTAATTCCATCATAATTTATTCGATGATAATTAATTCCTTAATAATTAATTCAGTGATATTTAATTCCATGATAATTAATTCCTTAATAATTAATTTCATCATAATTAATTTCATCATAATTAATAGCATTAAAATTAGTTCCATCATAATTTATTCGATGATAATTAATTCAATTATAATTAATTCCATGAAAAATTAATTCCCTGATAATTAATTCCATCATGATTAATTACATATGGAAATTAATTCTCAGATAATTAGTTCTTCAATAATTCATTCAATTATAATTTATTCTAAGATAATTAACTCCTTGATAATTCATTCGATAATAATTAATTCTATGATATTTAATTTCATCATAATTAATTCCTAAATAATTAATTGCATCATAATTAATTCCATCATAATTAATTCTATCATAATTAATTCTCGAATAATTAATTCTCGAATAATTAATTCTTGAATAATTAATTCTATCATAATTAATACTTGAATAATTAATTCTATCATAATTAATTCTATCATAATTAATTCTCGAATAATTAATTCTATCATAATTAATTCTCGAATAATTAATTCTATCATAATTAATTCTATGCTAATTCGTTTCATAATAATTAATTCTATAATAATTCATTCCATGATAATTAATTCTATGACAATTAATTTTATTACAATTGATTCCATGATATTTAATTTTATGCTAATTATAAACAATTAATTGAATTTCATTTAGAATTGTATTTAAATGATGATGTAAATAATTGTTTAGCAGATATATAAGTTAACAACTGAAACGACAATACGAAAAAGATAAAAATAATTTGAAAAAAAATTATATAAACTAAAATATTAATTTCATTTTTTATTAACAACAGATAAGAAAATAGAGTGAAAAAGAATAGATTGTAAAAATTTTTTGCAACACTCACCTCTAAAGTTAAGTACCTATTATGAAGAATTGCAACTCGCTATTAGAATAATTTCGATTGTATCCCGTGTGGAAAAGTGATGTGGGCCCCCAGCGGGGGCCCTTATGGATCGCCCTCATGCCATGAGGGCCGCATATGGATGATCCATAGGGGCCCCTCATGGAAACGACATGCTCATCGATGAGGGCGCCCGCATGGGCGATCCATGAGGGTGCCCCTACGGGCGCCCTTATGGGCCCTCACGTTTGCCCTCATCTTGCCCTCAAGTTTGCCATAATGTTTTTTAATCAATAATATTAATAATAAAAGTTAATTAATAATAAATAAGCTTAAGTTATGAATAAATAACATATTTATTTAATAATTATTCAATTTTAAATTAAATTCTTACTCAAATTCAATTTATTAATTAACGTTCTAATTAATTAACTGTCGGATATAATTAAAAGTAATAATAAATTAATTAATTAAAAAATAAAAAATATGTAATTTATGCATACTATTAACGGATATTTTCATTTTTCAATTAATTCATACATAGAATTAATGATTAAACGCAAACCTGAGAAATAAATAAATCTAACGCATGGGGGGAATCGAACCTACGACCTACGGACTATGAGTCTAACGCTTTACCAACTACGCTACGTACGCTACTTCAAAACGAATGCTAACTTCTTGATGCTATTTAAACTTCAAAAATACCTAACAAAGAAAAGTGCTTAACATCATTTAGTTAAAGTTAAGATATTAAATTATATTTTCCAATCAAATGCAATTTATAAAATATAATTAATTATATGCTTTATGATTATTATCATGAATCATCTCAGGCGAATTTTCAAAAAAGTGTAAATATATTTTTATTAAAAACGCGTTTTTCGTTGTTTTAAATCATTGGAAACATTCATTTTTTGTTGATAAAAAAATATTTGATTTTTGGACTTAGAAAATTTTGCTAATCGATCATGAGGGCGATCCATGCGGGCCCCTACGGTGGCCCTCATCTATTTTGCCATAAGTGTGAGTGTTATTTTCAAAAAAGTGTAAATATATTTTTATTAAAAACGCGTTTTTCGTGGTTCTGAATCATTATAAACATTAATTTTTTGGTGATAAAAAAATATTTGATTTTTGGACTTAGAAAATTTTGCTAATCGATCATGAGGGCGATCCATGCGGGGCCCCTACGGTGCCCCTCATGGATTCGCCATATGGATCAGCCCTCATGGGCCCCCGCCGGGGGCCCCGAACTCTTGAGGGCAAGATCGTGGCTTTTTCCACACGGGATAGAATTAAATTAAACTTTAGAGGTTAGTGTTGCAAAAAATTTATTTTAATAAGATCTTCTACATTTATTTTTTTTTCGATATTTTATGAAATATGTAATTGCAAAAAAACAATGAATTTATATTTTTTATATTGATTTATGGAAAATTTTTTACTATAAATTTTTTGCATTCAGCTGAAGTTGCAATTGGAGATATGCATTTTTTTTGGTTGTATATCCAAAATAGTTAGTAGTAATATTATATTAATTTTAATATTAAGATATGATAAAAATTACGAAAGGTAAGTGACTGTTTTATGACTTTTTTTTTGGAAATTTATTAAGCATTCAACGACATTTGCTTTAAAGTACCAGATAAATTTTATATTACAGATGAAAAAAAATTTAATTCAACTAAACAATCACGAAACATCATGAAATTTATGTTGAGATTTAAATTTAATTTAAACAATTTTAATTTTATAATTATAATTATAATTCTATTTTAATTAATTGTCAATTAATTCACTAATTATCAATTAATTTATTTAAATTTAGAAAATATTTTTTTTTCATTTCCACTTTTTAAATAATTCTTTTTATAATAAAATTGAATAATTTAATATATTCATTATTACGAAATTCTGTCTTTTGTGTTATCTATAGAAAAATACAATTTAACAATGTTCATAAATTTTTTAAATACTATTTAAAACACGTGTACTAAAAATTTCCTTGAAGTGATGTTAAGATGTCATTAAATATTTATTGCATATATATATATATATATATATATATATATATATATATATATATATTATTCAACAACTGAATATACAAAAAAAGTAACGGTAAATAATTATTTTTAATAAACGAAGGGTTAATACAATGTACTATTGACAACGAATATACGACGACAGTAGTTAAAACTAACAAGACAAAGTAGATATTTTTGTAGAAATTAAATTATATTTTCTGATGCAACATCTTTAATCAAGTGAGCAACACAAAAATAAGGTAAATTTTCATATAGAAATAATAATTAAAAAAAAAAAAAATTTAATATTTTTAAAGAATTTTAAAGAAAAATATAATATTTTAAAAATCGAATTTATTTTTATACAATTAAAAATGTTGAAAACAGAATTAATTTAATAAATCATAATTAATTTAGTAACCAATTTAATAATTCATAATTAATTTAGTAATCAATTTAAAAAGTCATAATCAATTAATTTAGAAATCAATTTAATAATCGATTTAATAATTCATAATTAATTAATTAATCGATTTAGTAAATCATAATTAATTTAATAATTCATAATTAATTTAATAATCAATTTAAGGAATCACAATTAATTTAATAATTCATAAATAATTTAGTAATCAGTTTAATAATTCATAATTAGTTTAATAATAAATTATTAAATTCGTTCCGGGACATTTCCTCAAATCAATTTTTAACGAACATAAATTGCACCGAATTTTATAATAATAATTAATTGAATAATTAATTTCAGAATTGGCAGAACAAAAAAAAGAAGATAAATAAAATACGAGACAATTTTGGCTACTTAAAATGAACAGCACATCAGTGTTTATACAACAGTCATCAAATTTTCAATTTCTTTCTGTTTGTCACTATATTAGTATTTTTGGAGTGTATTTTTACAACAAAGATTTAATTACACTTGAGCAACGATGTGATTCAATTTTTATTTTAAATACATTATTTGAGTATTTAAATAAATCTCCAGATGAATTGGAGGCAAAATTTCAACTTTTGAAGAAAGTACTAAAAGGAAGTGATCTTTACGGTGGTGAAAAAAATGAAACACTTGACATGAAATACGTTAATGAAACATATCATTACATCATTAGCGAGGCTCTATTTTCTCATTATGGAAACATTAATGGATATTTGGCTAAAATCATCAACAATGCTGATAATGTAAATTACTCTGTTCTTAAGGAGAAGGTGTTACAGCATCTTTCGGAAAATTACACAAGTAGGGAATATTGTTTTAATAATATTCCGCAAAGAAATAATAGTTTCAAAAATAATCCGTTAGGAAATTATTGTTCAAAAAATAATCCACAAGGAAATAATAGTTCCAAACTTAACGGATTGACAATTAAAAAAGTTTTTAACAATTATATTTGGCAAATATTTCCCCAACCCGAACATGAAATGAGCATAATGGAAGTGAATTATATTTACGCAATGGCAGGTTTAAAAATCATCAAATCCGTATCATCTACAACTCCAAATCTTACATTTCAGGAATATATTTTAATCTCCCGTGAGATTGATTTACAGAATTTCTCCAACGAAATCTATGAATTGGTACTAAATTTATTCTCAACACCAGCATTATTTTTCTACGCCTACAAACAGAAGGCAAAATTTCAAAAAATTGATTTTACCCTAACTAATGAATTTTGGATTGAAGCTTATCAAAATTTATTTACCCACATTAGTTCAACTATGCAACAAATTGTAAGAAAAAGAATTGAAAATAATCTTTATTACAAATTTGAAAAGGAAATGAATACTCTTAAAAGTCGAACAGTAATTGCCACAAATATACTTAGATTACATTGTGATTATGAAAATAATCCACTAGTCTCCGAAACTGATGTCTATGTTTATAAAACCTTTTACTCTTGGATGACAAAATTAATTCTACCCAAACATTGCCAAATTGACAGTCTACCCGATTTGGAAACAGTATTTCAAAATCAATTTAAAGTTGTTGAAAATATATACAATGCAATTGAGAAACATGCAATTGAAAAAGTTTTAATTGACAGTAATTTAATTGAAAAATTAAATTCAAATTCAATTGTTCTATTTGCACGAATCCCACCAGAACAAATGTATGAGCCAATGATTGCACCAGTGACAAAAAATTTAAACAAAGACATTTACCTAACTTTTGTAATCATAAAAAATGGAGAAAGTGAATATTACGCAATTAGACAGGAAAAAAATAATCTCAACTTGCTTATAAATCGAGGAAACGAAAAAAGATTTTCCTTTGCAGTTGCTAAGGATGCGTCAGTAAAATTGGAAATTGATATAGTTGGCGGTTATCTTAAAGAAGAGAATGAAGATTACAAGATGTTTATACAAAGAATTGCTGATATAAAGACAGAAAAATTTCTAACAGAACTAAAGAATCACTATAGAGAACCAACATCAGGGGAGAAAATTTTAGATTTTCTAAAATCATTTATTCCATTTTACAGTTGTATTGAAAGTATAATAGCAAAGGATGTAAATAACGCAATATCTAGTTGCTTCTTTGATGCTTTAACTCTTATTCCATTTGCAGGTTTAGCTGCAAAATATACAACTAAAATAACCAGTGCCTTGGCAATTGAAATTAGTGAACAATTACTAATGAAAAATAGTCTTGTAAGTTTAGGAATTTTACAAAAATTAACAATTACCACAGCTTTTCGACAAATTGGCCTTAGGGCTGTTCAAACAATTGCAAATCAAATTTTAACCCGAAATCTTTTAAAAGATTTTGGTATTGCAACTTTACGAACATTTGATCCTGGATTTGAATTCCTTTACCAATTAGGCAATTCTGGTTATCGAACATTTAAAAAACTATTTCAAAATTTAATCACAAATTTTAAAAATATTCCCACAGCTAATGAATTTTTATTGATAATTAAATCCTTCTTAGTGAATGTAAAACGAAATATAAATTTACAAACTGATAATACTGGATTGGTACCATTTGTTTTAGCAAAAAAAAATAATTTAAACATTGTTCGATACATATATCCAGGTGGATCACACTTTTTTGGACCTAAATGTTTAATTGCCGCTGGAAAAACTATGGAATTAAGAAGCATCGAATGGTATTCATTTCCAAATCCAGTTGTGGCGGAAAAATCCTCCAATGGAATTTTTTACAAACAATACAATCCAAAAACTGGTGGTACAATTGACGGGAAATTAAAAATGAACTCTGATGATATTCTCCATAGGGTTGGAAATTTAATAAATGAAATGGTTATCAATGGACGTGATTTTAATATAATTCGTAATTATCATGTTTATCATAATACAATTACATGGAACAATTATAAAGCAAAACAACATTATTCTTTAAATGAAGAAAGTCTAAATAGACCCATTGAAGGTCTTAATGAACCCATAGAAGATTTTAATGAAGCACAATATCCTACAAATGCAAGGGAAAATATAGTGCAACAAAATTTTCAACAAATTACAAATTTTCAATCTCAAGAGTCTTTAAACTTGAATTTTGATGTTCCTCATGTTATAGATGTGAAAATTATAAAACCCTTAAGTGGCAATGTAGGTGGTTTCAATTTTCCTCTAATACCACAATCAGAAGCACCAGGAACATCAAACACCAATTCTCCAAAATCATTTCTTTCAAAGACATTAATTGATATTTTAAATGAAGGAGAAAAGCCACCTCCGCCTCCAATTGTTAAATTAAAACATGATATAAATTCTGATTTTCATCTTGATAAAAGTTTAGAAGAAATTGTAACGGGTGGTCAAAATGATGGGCATCAGTTATTAAATTCAGAAATTTCCGATTCTCTATTGGATAATAATTTTTTTTCACAAAACAGAATGGAAACATCAGAAATTCTAAATACAAAATTAAATTCACCAAAATTGAATTCACCAAAATCATTTTATTCAAAAACATTGGTGGATATTTTAAATGAAGGAGAAAAAGTCCCATTGACACCACCAATTCCATTAAATCACAAAAATTATGTTGACAATAAATTTCCTAAGCCTCTTCATTTTAAATTTGATAGGAATTTGGAAAAAATTTTAACCACCGGTTATGATGCTCATCAATTGGTTAATATGGAAATTTCCGAATCGATATTGAATAATAATTTTTTTACAAACAAAATAATTGAAACACCAGAAATAGATACAAATTTATATTCTCCAATATTGGATTCACCAAAATTTTTTCATTCAAAATTTGATATTTTAAATAATGAAGAAAAAGCCCTTCCATCGATTAAAATAGATCACAATAAAATTGCTGATTATAAATTTCCAAAGCCTGTTGATTTTAAAAATTTAGAAGAAATTTTACCAAATGCCAATGATGGTGATCAATTGATAAATTCAGAAATTTCCGAAACATTATTGAATAATAATTTTTTTTCTCATCACGAAATAAAAACACCAATAATTTTAGAGAAAAAATCAAATTCTCCAAAATCTTTTCTTACAAAAACATTGATTGATATTTTAAATGAAGGAGAAAAGGCACCTCCACATTACAAATTCAATAAGAATTTAAAAGACCACGATAAATCTGCTCCAATTAATAATGAATTAGAAAATTCCAAATTTTCTTTAAAGAGAAAAGCAACTGATGATAATTTTGATGCAAATATTCCGGAAAAGAAGAAAAAACTAGCAGAGGGAAAGGAAAATCAGCTTATAGTTGAAAAAAATTCAATTATAGATTTAAATCCAAAATTATATAAAAAAATTATGAAACAATCAATTTATTCAAGTTATGTAGAAATTTTAATGTTATGGAAAAGGCACGATATGCCATTTATAAAACTTGATAGGGAAAAATATCTCACCTTACGTAATACTGTTAATAATTTGGCATTATTTCAATTGGATCAAGGATTTCCTCTAAATATACCAAAACGTCTTTGGTATAATCAAATTATTAAAGGAAGTAAAAATATTAATTTTATGGAAAATTTAAAGGGTAGTAAATTTTTTTTCAATGACATCACATTATTGGTGACAAATCAACCAAATACATTATTAAGCGAGGGAATGAGACCATTTGATTCTGAAATTGAAGTTAGATATCATTTGACAATTAATTCACCATTTGGATTTGTTGATTTAACAAATTTTCATTATTCATTGCGTAATAATTATGTAACATTCAGTGATGTTTTATTTACAGTAACAAATACATTTTATTCAAATAAAAAAGAGGTATTAAATATTTTTCTAACAAATCATGATATTGGGGAAAATATTTGGCGAAAAACAAGAGAGGAGGATATAAAAAATTTATTAACAGAGGATAAAATTATTAAACATCCAAGAATGAAGAGCATTTTAACAGCTGCTAATTTTATATCCGAAGAAGCACCATTTTGTACATTTGTATCATCAAAAAATTTACTTTCAACTTATATTTTAAAAATGGATTCCACCATTAAAAATCATGTTCCAACTTATGATAAATTTGCCACTGATATTATAAATATAAATTCAATAAATTCCTACAATGAATGGAAAATACCAAAAAATCGTTATATAGAAGATGTATTATTAAATCATAATTTAGATGAAATTATTCATCTATCAGAAGCAACAAGAAGAATTATTGCAATTTATGATTTTGTTTATATACAAAATATTGAACAGGCATTTCATAAATATCGAATGTTATTTAATATTGAACAACATATTCGTTTTGAGGATTATTATGTACTTTATTCTTATATTAATGATAATTTAGAATTAAATATAAATGGAATAAGACGATTGGAAGTTGCTATTAATCGATTGGCAATACGTCAAAGTAGTGGTAATAGAAAATTATTTAAACTTCATCGTGCTGAATTAATAGAAACTAATGTAGCAGAAAATATTAAACAATTATTTAATGAAAAACAAATATTTACATTTAATGAATTAAAAAGATTTTCCCTACATCGTGATATTGAGGAAATACAATTTATTGATTATGAAAATAATTTATCAGAAATTCCATTATTAATGGAAGTTACATTAAATAATCAAGTTGGTCTATCGGATGTTAATGGTGTTATTGTTAATGATAATTTATCATATGTTATTACTGCAAATTTTGAATTTATATTGGATGATATAAAATTTGAAACAATTTTTGGACAAAAAGTAATGGTTATTAAAATGCATGATTATGAAAGTCCAACGGAAAAAAGAATAATTCAAATGGCAAATCGACTTCATGAATTATTATCCACGGAAACTAAATTTTATTCAAATCTAGATGAAATGGAATAAATACTATATTTTTTTTTTAATATTTGTTATATGTAAATAGATATGTAAAAAAGATTTTTAATAAATACTTTTTAATTTTGTAGTAAATGTTTTTTGTTTCAATTTATTAATTCGTTAATAATAAACGAAATATATTTTATTACTTCCCTTTCATATATAACTAATTTGTCATTAAATCGAAAATAATTCCTCAAATAATAATGAACAATAATAATTTTTTATTATTTCAAATAAATATAAAGAAATAATTTATTATTAAGTTTTTACTAATTAGTAAAAATTCTACATGTCAATAATTATCAAATACAAATTTCGATTGAATCTTAATAATTTAAAAACAAATATTTAATACACGTGTATAAACATGTATTCTTGATATGATGTTTAGATGTCAATAACCGCTTGATAAATATATCAGTGAACATCTGAAACTACAAAAAAAAAAAATTGATAAAGTATAGAAAATTGTTTTTATAATCTTGAAAATCAATTCATCTTTTTTTTTTATTAACAACAGATCATTAACCGTTATAATAAGTAAACGGTATGTTTTAATTTTAATCCAGAGTCAAATCTTCTCGAAATGTTAGAGAATTAATTAGAAAATTCTATAACAATATTATTTTACATTGTAAAATTATAGCAAACAGGTAATTAAAATTATTTTATTATGTAGTTTTTCTTAATTTTTTAAAGGAAGATTTTTAAAATTATTTTAAATATTGTATATTGAATTAAATCAATAATTAATTTCGTTCTCCGAGAATTCCCAGAATCAATTTTACCAAACAGTAATTGCGCACGGAATGTAAAATTGTTAACTTTTGGTAAAATTGATTCGGGATAATGACCGAGAATTAATAAAATAAGTAATAATAATTAATTACGTTTTCGGAAATTTTCCCAAAGTAATTTATTTACCAAACTGTAATTACACCGAATGTGAAATTATTAAAATTCTGTAAAATTTATTTGGAAAAATGACCAAGAATCAATGAATTTAATAATTAATTTAATAATTCCTAACTAATTTAGTAATCAATTTAATAATTCATAATTAATTTAATAACCAATTTAATAATACATAATTAATTTAGTAATCAATTTAAGAATTCAAAATTAATTTAGAAATAAATTTAATAATTTGTAATTAATTTCATAATCAATTTAAGAAGTCATTATTAATTTAGAAATTAATTAAATAATTTAATACTCAATTTAAAGAATCATAAATAATTTAATAATCAATTTAAGAATTAATAATTAATTTAGTAATTAATTTAATAATTCATAATTAATTTAATAATCAATTTAATAATCAATTTAATCATTCATGGTTAATTAGATAATAAAATTTAACAGTTCATAATGAATTTAGAAATCAATTTAATAATTTATAATTAATTTAATTATTAATTTAGGGAATCATTATTAATTTAATAATCAATTCAAGAATTGATAATTAATTTAATGATCAGTTTAATAATTCATAAATAATTATAATAATCAATTTAATATTTCATAATTAATTTAATAATGAATTATTAAATTCGTTTCCGGACATTTCCCGAATATTAAATAATAATTAATTTCAGAATTGGCAGAACAAAAAAAAACATCAACTGAATAGGAGACAATTTTGGCTACTTAGAATGAACAACACATCAGTCTTTATACAAGTGTCATCAAATTTTCAATTTCTTTCTGTTTGTCACTACATTAATGTTTTTGGTTTGTATTTCTACAACAAAGATTTAGTTACAATTGAAAAACGAAGTGATTCTGTTTTTGTTTTAAATACTTTGTTTGAGTATCTCAATAAATCTCCAGATGAATCCGAGGCTAAACTTCAACTTCTGAAAATAGTACTAAAGGGAAGTGATCTCTACGGTGGTGGAGAAAATGAAACACTTGACATGAAATACGTCGATGAAACATATCAGTACATCATTAGCGAGGCTCTATTTTCTCACTATGGAAACATTAATGGATATTTGGCTAAAATCATCAACACGGCGGATAATGTAAATTATTCGGTACTTAAGGAGAAAGTGTTTCAACATCTTTCGGAAAATTACACCAGTAGGGAATATTGTTCCAATGATATTCCGTTAGGAAATTACGATTCTGATAATAATCCGTTAAAGAATTATGGTTCCAAAAATAATCCATTGGGAAATTATGGATCAAAAAATAATTCTTTAGGGAATTACAGTTCCAAACTTAACGGATTGACAATTATAAAAGTTTTTGATGATTACATTTGGACAATTTTCCCCCAACCTGAACAAGACATGAGCATAATGGACGTGAATTATATTTACGCAATGGTAGGTTTGAAAATCATCAAATCTGTATCATCAACATCTCCGAATCTTACCTTCCAGGAATATATTTTAATCTCCCGTGAGATTGATTTACAGGATTTCAGCAACGAAACCTACGAAATGGTACTAAAATTATTCTTAACTCCAGCATTATTTTTCTACTCCTACAATCAGAAGGCTAAATTCCAAAAAATAGATGTTTTTATCCTAACTGATGAATTTTGGATCGAAGCTTATGAAAATTTATTCACCCACATAAATTTAATTATGCACCGAATTGTACAGGGAGAAATTAAAAATAATTTACACTACAAATTGGAAAAGAAAATTAATAATCTAAAAACTCGTACTCTTATTGCTGCGGAAATTCTACGATTATATTGTGATTATAAGAATATTGCACAAATATCACCAGTTTTTGTGGAAATTTATAAAACCTGCTATCATTGGATGACAAAATCAATGCTTCCCGAACAATGTTATACAAATTATCTTCCCGATTTAGAAAAGAAATACGAGGATCAATTTAGTGAGATTGAGGAGATTTACAACGAAATTGAAAGAAATGGAATTGAAAAAATATTAGTTGATAGTAAATTAGTGGAGGAAATTACATTAAATTCCACTGTTATGTTTGCACGAATTCCTGATTATCAGCAGGGTTGTAATTTATGTTCACCAATTCCACGAAAGGCAAACAATGATATATATCTTATGTTCGCTGTAAAAAAAGAAAAATCCGAATTTTACGCCCTGAGACAGGAGAATAATACTCTTTCTTTATTAACAAACAGAGGAAACGAACAAAATTTTGCTAAAGCAGTTGCTAATGATTCTTCTCTAAAGATGGAAATTGCAGTATTTTCCCGAACTCTCAAATACCGTAATGAAGATTACAGAGGATTTATTGCAAGAGTTGCGGAAATAAAAACAAAACAATTTTTAGATAATCTGAAAAAGTACTATTATGACGAAACAATTGGGGAGAAATTTCTAAATTTTGTAAAATCTCTAATTCCATTTTACAGTTGCATTGAAAGTGGAAAAGCTGGCAAAATGGTAGAATCCGCATTTAGTTGTACAATGGATGTTCTTAGTCTAATTCCATTTGCTGGTTTTGCTGCAAAATATACAACTAGGCTCACCAATAGTTTGGCAGTGGAAATTGGTAACAAATATCTCATCACTAATACTTTGGCAAGAACAGGAATTACCAAATTACCAATAATTACAGTTTTGAATCAAATTTCCCAAACTGCTGTTAAAACAATTGCAAAAGAAATTCTAACTCGAAGTCTTTTGAAAGATTTAACTGTAGCCTCCCTTCGAACATTTGATCCTGGATTTGAATTCTTTTACCAATTAAGCAGTGTTGGTTCTAAATTATTCATAAACCTGTTTCGTAATATAATATCCAATTTTAGAAATTTTCGGATTATTCAAAGTACTCTAAAATTAATAAAAACGATCCTACGGAATTTGAGAAGAAATATAAATTTACTAACCGATCATACTGGATTGGTACCATTTGTTTTAGCAAATCAAAACGAATTTAACATTGTTCGATACTTTTATCCCGGTGGATCAAACTTGTTTGGACCTACCTGCCTAAAATCATTTGGAAACACTGCGGAATTAAGAAGCATCGAGGGGTATTCATTTCTACTGCCAGTTGTGGCGGAAAAATCTGGTTTCTACAAACAATACAATCCAGAAACTGGTGGTACAATTGACGGGAAGTTAAAAATGAATTCTGATGATATTCTCCATAGGGTTGGAAATTTAATAAATGAAATGGTTATCAATGGACGTGATTTTAATATAATTCGTAATTATCATGTTTATCATAATACAATAGAATTGAAGAAAACTGAAAAAGAAAAAGTAAAGGATACTTCTGAAAATCAATTACCGATTGAAAATACCAATTTCCAAAAGACAAATGAAGATTCTCAATTTTCTAATCCTGAATTTAAGATCACATTGAAAAACAATATAAAAGGTCATAATTTTCCTGAAGTGACAACGAATATTCAATTTTTGGGAACTTTGACTAAATCTAATAAAGGTAATATTCCTGATATGACAATTTCTAATAATCGTCCGGGAACATTAAAGGAAATTGATCAAATGCAAGATAATTCTCCACCAGCTATCGATTCATTGTTTACAATGTCTTCGAAATATTTGTCAAATTATAAAATTTATGAATCACCTTTAAGTGAATTCACTGATAGTTATTCTTTTCAGCCTGTAAAATCTGATAAAACTCCTCCTCCATTGTTTAAAGTAACAGAAATTAGTAATTCAGAGGTTGGGAATTTGGATTTACCAAAAGTTCAAGTTGATTTAAATGTTCCGGGAAAGGAAAGGGTAGATTTAACAAATGTAGCGGAAGTACCAAAAATACCGGAAGTAGAATACCATCATAAAAAATTTCGTTCCAATCTCCAGAAGAGAATTAGAAAACCAGAAATCACTCAATTAAATGAAATCCAAATTATCGAAGATGGAAATATTCCAGAGAAGCGAAGCAAACTAGATACTGTATCAAAAGATTCGGAAAGTTCCAATTCATTTTTAATGAATCAAAATAAAATCCAAAATTTTGATGATATTCCAGGAACATCAAAACAATTTCTAACAGATGTCAATCCAACGTTTTACAAAAATCTAATAAAAGATTCAACATACACAAATTATGCCCTTATTTTATCAGAATTCAAAATTAATGGTTTATTAAAATTAATGAAAAAGAAA